GCTCTCTAGTGAATAAGCTTTTTGGTGCGAGTGGCGGCCGAGACGTGCTGAAACAAGCATTCACTCTCGGAAACTTTTATTCCTATCATTTCATGTCACAATGCTCAATGCCCCCCTTTGTTGTCCGATGACTTAAGCTCAATAAATTAGCACGAATGCTGCAAGCTGCGTTTGCTGAAGGGCAGAGGAAATCGACAAAGATGAAAGAGGAGCCAGGAGATTTTTGCGGACATTACAGAGAAATAATAAACTCTGTTGTTGGGTTTTTTTCCCTCTTTTCTAGCACAAAATACTTTCAAAATGTTCTTTATAAACTTAGTTTTCTGCATAATTAACAAAGGTTAATCCATCTGCTGCCATCACTTGACCTCAGAAGATCAGAGGGAAGCTGGAGCCAGACAAAAAGCCGGCTGGTCAGCTGCCTTTCACAAGGCAAGCAAGAAAAAAAAAAGGATCACTTTAAACTCACATTGACGCCCTCACTGCATTTAGGAAGAGCCACAGAAAACAAACAAATCCTGACTGGATTCTGTGACGCACCAATCGACTACAGCACAACTCTTGCACTCTAACCACCCATATTGGTCAGTGAAATTCTGGAGAAAGTCTTTGGAAATCTGTCAACATGCCTGCAGATGTCACTGTGGTAAAGGTTCGCTGCATGTCATTAACATCTAAACTCAGGCAACAAGGCCGCTCTCCACCAAACTGACCAAAACATGGGAGCTTGGAGTAGTGATGAGTTCATGTGGGAAAAATGCAGCCCATCCATGGAGCCAATCAGATTTGAGGACTCTGGAGACGGAGGAAAACATTTATTGGAAGATAAGCACAGAACAAATTGTATTTCAAACAAACAAAATTTGATTTTTGCACCATGCGCCCTTTGACCTTTACGCTTCAATGACTCAGACTTGCAGTTCTGACCTTTGTTTTCTGCAGCTCTTGGGAACAAATTCATGTCCAGATGTTCGCCAACTTCGCATGAGGACAGTTTGAAAAAAAAAACAAAAACAAAGGGTGATCTTCCGGTTATCTGTGTTATTGCTCCACTGAGTTGACAAGTTGCTGATTGCCAAAGAACAAAGAAAAAAAAAACAGCCGTCAGCTGCCTCAGCATTATCAGCTCAGGGTTTTTCCTCTCTTCACACTCAGGATGACAGGTCACAGGACATACAGTCTACTGCATACAACTGTCACAGTAATCACTGCTGATGCGTGGGCTAAACAATCCGACACTTTCCAGATGTCCTTATTCAAAACAAGTAGAACTTCACACCAGAGAGAGAGAGAGCGGCAGACTCTCGACACCTCGCAGCAGCGATGGGAATTAATTAGAATTTACCGGTTCTGATTCCATTATTAACTCTGCTGTATGTGCTCAGTGGGTCAGAAAATATGCATTAATATTGCATTAACTCTTATGCAAGAGTTAATGCAATATTAACCCAACCTTACTCTCTAGGTAAAAAGTCTGCTAGGTTAAAAATGCTAAATGTTAGCATTTAAATGCTAACATTGGCAGGCGACCCAGAACTTGGTTACTTGTGACTGGAGGCAACCTAAACTTATCTCCATCATCTAAATGTAATCAAACTGGATTGACTTTATTCGTAGTTTAGGAAACACTGATCTAGAAAACGTGTCTTTGGAATTGTTAAGCAAGCAGACTAACGGTTCCAAGGAATCGGACCATTAGGAGGTTCTGCAAAATCTCTGGAGCAGCTGAGAGGATTTACGCACGTATGTGGTCTTATCTACGAACGTTAAATGATTTACTTTTGACATCTCTTTATTGCCAGTTCATGTTCAATGACAGACCGTGAGGTCAGTAACAGCTGAGCAAACTCAACTCAGGCAGGATGGTTAATTGAAGACATATTCAAACCTGTCAGCTGTGATTTAACCTTTTTCCCCCCAGTGACTTTGTGACTCAGAGACTGTGATGTAACATTTGGATCTGGTTCGAATCCAGCCTTCGAAGTTCCTTTTTTCCACAAGACCAACACACGGAGAACAAAACACTTGAAGCACAAGTTGATGAGTTTCCATGAGGAAAAACAATCCTCCCCTCCTTCCTTTGCAATCAGCATCTGGCTCAGAGAAGAGAAGAGCAGAGACCGTTCACAGTCAGGTCCATAAGTTGCCTTTATTTGATTAATTTAATCTTCCGTCCATCTGCTGACTTAAATGAAACGCAAAACTGAAACTGTTTTAGGACGCTAGATAGAAAAGATGAAGTTGTTCAGGTTGAGAGCCTTTTTAACTGCCCTTTTTTAAAGTGTTTTTGAGACACGGCCGTGACATTTAGCAGAAAAAGAAAACATTTTATCTGGCTTGTTCATTCACTGATGGAAATGAACTCCAAGGAAAAGATATTAACACTTCTTTTTCCTGCAGTACTACGTCATACTTTCTCGATCGATGCGAACAGTTTCCAAACACTGCGGGCGAACTAAAACCTCAATTTGTTTCCAGTATCGCTGCGACCAAATGTTTGGGTATTAGCTCTGGACTAACATACAAAGTATTTGTGGAAAAATGACTCGCTGTCTCCCGCTGAACCCTCGGTGGACAGAGGCCAAGTCGTCCTCCCACATCCTTGACACAGGCCTGTTAGATCGTTCACGAGGAGAATAAGCGGGGGAATCTCTCTGGAAAACATGTGGCCCCACTGAGAGGTGAGGGTCACCATGAAATCAAATCAGCTGTACGAGCTCTGAGCGGCAGCTTCACTTCAGGGGCCACAGTCAGATTCTTTACACACAGCCTGTTGTTAAACCAAAAAAAAAAAAAAATAACCAGTATCAGGATAATTTGTTGATTTGCAACAACTGTCTAACACAAGAAAATACATTAATGGCAACTTTACAGAAACTAGAAAACTTGAACTGTAACCTGTTACAAAAAAAAAAAACCCCTTTCTTTTCAGACAAACTAATTACTGGAGACGAAAATAAAATTAGCAACGCTCTCGAAAAACTGTTTGGGACTTTCACACCTTGCATGGCTTTTGCCCAATCTCGCTCTATAAAAACAAGCCACAAAAACTAAGAGTCTCTGGTCGGCACTCTTGGATTTTCCCTTTCAATTTTAAGTCACAATGAGTCAGATCTGGACCACAGGCAGGACGGTTAAACACACACACACACACACACACACACACACACACCAAATTTCTCAAGACGACAGAGTGCTTGCGTCTCTAAAGGTTAATGCAGTAAAACTGGTTAAACCTTGACCCATAAACATGGGTCACCAGATGACTTCTCACTGACTGACCATCAGTCTCTGACTAACAGGAAGTGGACTGTATTTTTTGCACAACATTAAGAAATGGCTTCATTTTCAAATGGTTACGATGTTATTCTTAGCCGGGTTCCTGTTACTTGGTTTCTGGTAACTAACAGTCAGCAGGAGTTCAGATTTTAGGTTACACTGCATTTACACTTCTCTAAAATGAGGTTTTTAATAAACAAACAGGAGTTCCTGATGTTTCCAAATTAATGAATATATTTGTCCGAGAGGAACAAAAACTTTGAATAATCACATGTCAGGCCTTATATTTGAGTTGTTTACTAGGTTTTTCTTGTTGTTGTTGTTTTTTACATTTAAACCAAATAATGTGGACCTCAACCTCAGACTGAACATTAACATGGAACCCCCGTAAATATAAATATTGAATACAATTATTTATCACCCATTGTTATTTCAAATATCCCCAAAGCTCATACATTCAGGTATTATATTTAGGTTTTATTTTAAAAAGAATTGAACGCCCCTCTTTGGTTCCCCCTGCTGAAGGACCTCTGCTTTAACACGTACAGCACCAGAGGACACAGTCCCTCACTGAAAGGCCCCATAACAGTCTGTGAATATATAACGGGGCCACATTTGCAAGCGGAGAAAGCGCCGGAGATCGTTTGCCAGCAGAGCTACGTCCTCTGTGAGAAAGTGAAAAGAAGTCTGTGGGGAATTAGTTCACATGGCGTCGTCCGCTCTCTTCAACTGAACCTCCCGCACATTGAGAACCACTGATGTCCCCGCACAAAGGAGCAGCTCCAAATTAGGAGCACAAAGAGCGCTCTGTGGGAAAACCTCAGGGTGAATTAATGAGCACAGATACTCGTTCTCACACCGGCCTCAGCTGCTCAACAACACAAGTCCGCAGAATTCTGCACAGTGGCAACACACAGAGAGAGAGAAAGTTGAAAATGGAATTCTAACTCTTCAGTATTGACTCGGGAGAAGCGCCAGGGCAGCTGGGAGTGAACGCTGGCTGTTTTATTTTTGTCATCTGCGCCACAGTTTGTCATATTTTTTTTTTTTTAACAGTGTGCTAGAACAGCAAACGCCCATCATGTCATGAGCTCCTCACTCCCCCATACCCTCCCTCCTCCCCCGCCCCTACTTGGGGCAGATTTGAAGATGGAACACTCCCTGCTCAACTCCTCAGACACTGTACAAGACGTGGCATGACATGCACATCATCTGGGTAACTCAACAGGTTGTCATCACTCCCCCATCCTCCCCTCCCCACACTCTTCATCAACAAAACCCATGTTGCAGTTTTGTGCAAAACTTTGCAACTTTTGCACAAAATGCAACAGAGTGGTGGTGACTTCGTCCAGCACTGACACCCCGCGGTGACAGCAGCAGCACGGACAGTGATGCAGCCAGCTGATGTGTTCTTCAACACCTCCAACCGCCTGCAGCACAGCTGACGGAGCCTTGGGTTGAAGCGAGTCCTGAGTCCAGACTTAATCCCACTAATCGCTTTCTTAAAGCTACTAATGCCGATTCTCGGGAAACCGGGTCAGGTACACGGACGACTTCTAGGATGAAGTCAAATAAAGAGTAGAAATGTGTTCACTTCGAGCTGCGTCGGCGCAACCCGCACATCTGGAGCCACAAAAACAACATCAACAAGTACAAAGCGAGCTGTCACCTCCTTAATGTCGATAATAAGTGTCTGCGGAGAACGTGAGAAATTGACTCACCCATTTTTTTTTTCACGCAAAATCCCCCAAAGTGTCCAAATCGTAATGAGTGAACGGAAAGTTTAGCCCCTGTTCCACTGATGTTGCGTCGCGGGATGCGCACTGGCCGCCTGGCTGCTCCGAACACTCCAAGCTGCGTCCCTTTGGAGACAGCCTCAGTGTGACGTCAGCACAGAGGGGGATTATGGATGGGAGGACGGAGTCCTGGTCAGGAAGTTTCACTGCTCAGCTGTAGTACAGTCTAAGATCTAACGTCAGTAACTTCAACCGTAGCTCAGGTTTCTCTGATATTTTACCCGTTTGTTTTAGTGTCTTTTTAAAAAGAAAATCTTGGCGGTAACTGAGCAGATTTCACAAAAGCCCAGGTTTTAATATGACTTTTACAATGATTTTGTACTGAAGAAAAAAATCCAGAAAAATATTTTTTAACTGATGTCTTTCCATGTCAGGTGCTGGAGGTCAAAACAGCAAAAACTCCAAAGTAACAAATATATTTGTTCTAGAGAAACTCGACATTTCCAGTGAAAAAAAATTAACTAATCACGTCCTCGACCCTTGGATTTGAGCTTTTTTCTAAAAAGGATTATAGTTTGGAGAGTTCATTTAAATCAAAATAAAATGTAATTACTGTTTCTCCATCCAATTCCATGCTGATGTTTACACAGAGTAACTGAAGTAAAACTGTTACTGTGAGGCTACTGTCGTCAGCAGCTAAACGTGTTATCAATGGCGCTGATGATGCATTTAGTTTCAACAGGTCAGAGGTCACTCTTGTATTCGTTTACTCATTTGTTTGCAGATGCTTTAACTGCACTTTTTTTTCATCCTTTGGCTGGGTTTGCGACTTATACTCAGGTGCGACATATATTAAAATATAGAATTTCACGTTTATTATTTTCACACTGACAGCCACTAGAGGGCACTCTAGGCTTGTGTACCAGTATCTGCTACTCCTCTAAGTCACACTTTTCTTCATACTTTGGCTGTGGCGACTTATAGTCTGGATAAAAAGGTACAATGAATATGACACACAAACTAGACTTAGCCTCCTTTATTACTGTTCTAGTTGTTAGCATGCTACTGGAACTCTTCATTTCAATAAGATTGTTTCTACAAAACCATTTTCCATTTCCACTTCACTGATTCACCTTGCCAGGAATTTGCACAGACTGAAGTTGAGATAGGGACACACATTTGGATTCTCGTACTGCAGTAACGTTTGCAGTATTTCTAGACACTTCCACAAATCTGCCTCACTTGCAGCCACTTGCACAGGAAGCGTACGGGGTGATCTCCAAGTTGTCTCTCATTACTTCTACGGGAAAAAACCCATCATGGTGATGTCAGTGATTTACAAGTGTCCAAATCGTAATGAGTGAACGGAAAGTTTAGCCCCTGTTCCACTGATGTTGCGTCGCGGGATGCGCACTGGCCGCCTGGCTGCTCCGAACACTCCAAGCTGCGTCCCTTTGGAGACAGCCTCAGTGTGACGTCAGCACAGAGGGGGATTATGGATGGGAGGACGGAGTCCTGGTCAGGAAGTTTCACTGCTCAGCTGTAGTACAGTCTAAGATCTAACGTCAGTAACTTCAACCGTAGCTCAGGTTTCTCTGATATTTTACCCGTTTGTTTTAGTGTCTTTTTAAAAAGAAAATCTTGGCGGTAACTGAGCAGATTTCACAAAAGCCCAGGTTTTAATATGACTTTTACAATGATTTTGTACTGAAGAAAAAAATCCAGAAAAATATTTTTTAACTGATGTCTTTCCATGTCAGGTGCTGGAGGTCAAAACAGCAAAAACTCCAAAGTAACAAATATATTTGTTCTAGAGAAACTCGACATTTCCAGTGAAAAAAAATTAACTAATCACGTCCTCGACCCTTGGATTTGAGCTTTTTTCTAAAAAGGATTATAGTTTGGAGAGTTCATTTAAATCAAAATAAAATGTAATTACTGTTTCTCCATCCAATTCCATGCTGATGTTTACACAGAGTAACTGAAGTAAAACTGTTACTGTGAGGCTACTGTCGTCAGCAGCTAAACGTGTTATCAATGGCGCTGATGATGCATTTAGTTTCAACAGGTCAGAGGTCACTCTTGTATTCGTTTACTCATTTGTTTGCAGATGCTTTAACTGCACTTTTTTTTCATCCTTTGGCTGGGTTTGCGACTTATACTCAGGTGCGACATATATTAAAATATAGAATTTCACGTTTATTATTTTCACACTGACAGCCACTAGAGGGCACTCTAGGCTTGTGTACCAGTATCTGCTACTCCTCTAAGTCACACTTTTCTTCATACTTTGGCTGTGGCGACTTATAGTCTGGATAAAAAGGTACAATGAATATGACACACAAACTAGACTTAGCCTCCTTTATTACTGTTCTAGTTGTTAGCATGCTACTGGAACTCTTCATTTCAATAAGATTGTTTCTACAAAACCATTTTCCATTTCCACTTCACTGATTCACCTTGCCAGGAATTTGCACAGACTGAAGTTGAGATAGGGACACACATTTGGATTCTCGTACTGCAGTAACGTTTGCAGTATTTCTAGACACTTCCACAAATCTGCCTCACTTGCAGCCACTTGCACAGGAAGCGTACGGGGTGATCTCCAAGTTGTCTCTCATTACTTCTACGGGAAAAAACCCATCATGGTGATGTCAGTGATTTACAAAGACAGGCCCTTTACAAAAACAATGGGAAATATCCTCAGTCTAGTGCGCTGGTATCCGGTCTCCAAGGAGGCCTCGCTGCCCTCTCGTCCAAGCCGTCTTTTCACTGGTGGCCAAGTGGGCGATTCTCCATGGGTTTCATGGTCAAACAGGGCAATCTGCCCAACATGGCAAACACAAAAAGGCTCAGAAAGACAAATATTTAACCGGTCGACTTCAGGCTCACAAAGAAAGTAGTGCCATTTATATAAACTACAAATATGGAGGAAATAGACGTGTGATCAACGCAGCTGTCAATTCATAGATCAGTCATTTAAATGAGCAACACCTTCAGCTTCTGGATGAGAAGCATCTACAGCTCACAGAAATCTTTACTTTAACACAAATCACTCCACACTGGTTTTTTAGCCTTTCTGCCAGCATGGATAATCTTCATGGGAACATTCCAGTGTTGCACAGGCTGTCGCAGCAGCTGGCAGACACCAGGCAGCAGGCAACTGTTGTCAGGGTGGACCGTGGTAACAACAAAACACATCTGACGGGTTGTGATGTTCGTTTGCACATATGACCATAGAAATTCAAGTGCATGGTCCGACACTTGGTGAAGTCTAATTTGAATTATGCTAACTCAGGCATGGGCAAACTTAGGTCCGGGGGCCGGATGCGGCCCGTTCAGCTTTTTAATCAGGCCCACCAAACTTTTCCAAATTGTAGAATTTATTTATATTATTATTATACTTCTGCCTTTTCCCTGCAATACCCACAATTCCCCAATAGACGACATCGAAAATGATAAAAGCATCTTAGCATTTTATCCGTAGGCATGACTTTTACATGTCATTTATCTTAGTTAACACGGACGCTCCATCTATCTGCTCCTGACCCGGCCCCACTGTTCAATTTTAGGACAACTTTGGCCCACGCCTGTGCTAACTCGATCATCACTTGTGGTGTCACTCAGCTTCATCACTGCCATACATACTTGTTGTGTTTCTGAACAAACTCAAAGCCAAAGAAGTTGAAGTAATGTGTAACTTGTCAAAGCAGCTAAGGTGGTGCAGGGCTACGGCCGCCATGGCAACGGACGGCCGGGAAAATGTCACCCACCGTGAAGTGAGCTTGAAGAGGGAGTCTGTGTGAAGTTGGTCTCAGTCTTAATCTTATACAGCCTGGTTGAACAGTTCAGTCCTGCCGGGACATCAGTCTGTGTTTAAGTCACTGTTTAACTGAGACTGTCTGAGTGATAGAGAAAAACCAAATACTGGGAAAAAATAAAACCCTGCTCCTCACAAAAGATATGCAGTTCTGTATTGATTGCGTCTTCGAGATAATTTGATTGACGACCTCAGTCTTTAAATTCCTTTCTTGGGGGTAAAGCAAATGTTGAGAAACAGGAAACTTAACAAATCTGAAGATAAGGTGTCGCCGAACAGTGTTACACAAACCCTGAGAGAAAGATTACCACGTGTTCGAAGTACGTTCACCAAAGCAACAGAATTTTGACTTAAACTCATACGTTTCCTCACACACACTGCCCTGATGCTTTGTAGTAAAGTGGAAAACACACAACGTCTAGTGTGAAATCAACATCTGGTTTAGTATTTGGAAGGAAGTGGAAAATAAAATTTCACTGGCGTCTCTGGGAAAATTCAAGAAAAAAATGTGTTTTTTAACCACCGTCCACAAAAGTCTGTGAGAATACGTTATTCTGTTCAACATTACCTACAAATATGGAGTATCCTGCCCAACATCTGAGAACAACCACAGGCTGAACATGTTGGTGCCTCAACGGTTTTCCATTTTTAAATAAAATCCCTCCATCCTCAGGGCACACATGCTCAAATCCCAGGGCTTACATTTACTAAAATGCATTTTCAGCCAGACAACAAGTGTTGTGAGTTGCTTAAAAAAATATTGAAAACAAACAGCCTAACACTTACCCCATGGCAGTTGGGACTGGCTGCAGCGCCCCCTGTGAACCTGAAAAGAATAAAGCCAGATTTAGATTAAATAAATAAATACTTTTTTTTCCTGTTCTATCTGAGGCGTTTGTAAACTTAGTCTAAAATCCCCATGTTAAAATAATTAGCAGGGCGCCCTTACTAGGTCTGCCTTACAAGCAGAGCGTCCTAGGTTCGATTCCCAGGCAAAAACACATGTGTGTGTGATGGGGCCCCCTGTGGCAGCCTGCATTTGCTACATGCCTCCCAAATGGACCCTACTTTGGACAGCACTGGTACAGACCATCTCTTAGTAAATTGTTTTTTTTATTCAGTGACAATGATGTTTTTCACCCAAACAACACACAAATGGTTTTTTTTTATTCAATGACAATAATGTTTTTCACCCAAACAACACACAAATAATTATGAGCACACCAAAAGAAAACTGGGTTAAAGGTTACAGCGTACACAGTCAACGAAGAGCCACGTCAGAATGCGAACACGGGCCGTATGCTATGTGTTCCTCCAAAAAACAAAATCGATTTCAGGGCGCCCCCAGGTTGGATTCTTTAAACATTTCATATCTGGAGAAACAGCTCCAGAGGGTCACAGTGAGTGATGAGCATGTAAGCAGCACTAAGCTGCCCATGTAATTTATTACATGCTTTGGCCCCCAGGGGAGAGTGGGGGGGGTGGTCTTAGAGCAGCTTCACACACACACACACACACACACACAGCTGGGGGTCAGACAGGAAGTCACATCCTGGGTACTTATATTTATGTATTCCATCGTTGTGTTGGAACAAATGGTTGAAATCTACAACGACGTAGAATAAGAGCGTAGAGGGTTTAAACCAGGGCCGTCAAAATTAACTAAATCAGATTAAAACAATCAAGGAATTTACACCTGGGCAATGACGCCTACTGTACTGTATGGTCAATAATTCCAATAATGTTGCTCTAATACACAGTTGAGACACAGGCTGCTTTTTATCCACAATGTTGAGAACAGTTTTCATTTCACCCAAACACCTAGAGTTTAAATTACTCTCAACAATTAACATCACTTCACAGATATTCCTACATTTTTCCCCCCGTATTAAGGAACGTTGATTCATCTGGATTAATCATGATTAATGATCAACCAAATAGTCCGAACAAACAAATTGAATGTGCTGCCTTCACTGACAGTAAGAACATATCCAGCAGTAACAGAAAGACGTGGGCGTGGCCAGATCCAGAAGACCACACCACACAGTGAAGTGTGGAAACAGATAAACAAAGAGCAACTATACACACCCTCGTGACTCAGTCTTTATAAATAATTGGATCATTGCGACGCCATGTCTCCACAGTGTTAGTTAGCATCAGTTTAGAGGGAGGGGGAGGTTATACAGCCTTGTATTTTGTTTGTACAGAAACTATTTTCTTCTAAATACATACTGTGACTTAAACAAGTCTAAATTAAGACACTGAAAATATACAATTTCCGAGGACTTGTTTACGTTTATACAGAGACACTGCTATTGAAATCGTTGGGGTTTAAGTGAATGGATAGGTTGATGAAATGCTGCCATCTAGCGGAGAGGTGTTGATGGAAGTGAAGAAAAATTTAAACACGCAGAAAAAAAAATCAACATATACATAAGTTATAAAAGTAAAGTGATTCGACGTGTATTTAAACTGTAATTTGTCTTTTTTTAAAACCAAAAATACACAAAGCAAAACGTCACCATTAGATTTTTGTAACTTTGTATCGAGTTTCTAGAATACAGAATGTTACTTTTTTTTTTTGTAAAAGTAAAGTCATGTTGTCACCTACTGTTCTCACACAGCCTCACTCTCAGTGTTGTGCTTTTGCCTGCTGTGTATTTAGAAACATTTTAATTAATAGATTTTTTTTTAATAAAAACTTTTTTTTCCACTTCTCCTTGTCACAAATGTTAAAAGAACATTTTAATTAATAGATTTTTTTTTTTAATAAAAACTTTTTTTCACTTCTCCTTGTCACAAATGTTAAAAGAAACATTCCTCTGGAGGATTCCTGTTATGTTTCCAGACAGATTAAGAAAAGCAGTACGCTTGAGTTTACCTGAGGGAAATTATCAACTCCTTGGATGACAGGCGCCTCATTTGAATGGTATCGCCTGTGAGCAGCTGCTCTCTTGTTGACTTTTCTGTGTGGGATGAAAGCTCGGCGTCTTCTGTGTGTGTGGCAGCTCTGTACGTTTCTTTTGTTTTTGAAGAAAATATTTACATTTAGAACGATGGAAAATCATAAAACAAAGACTGGACTTCTAGGTAGAATATTTTTATATTTTAGGATATATATCCTAAGTTATATTTTTATATACAGTATATCCACATATATACATATTTGTATAAACATATACACAAACATGTATACATATATACATATTACCACATTGATACTGACAAATTAAAAACATTAACATTGCTACTATTAATTGTATTTTTATAATAATGTCAATGACACATTTATTTTTTATTGTACATATTTAATCCAGGCATGTGACTTATTAACTTGTTGTAGTTGGATATTATACTTTAACATATTTATAATGTTATATATTTATAGAGAATTGTGAGCAAATCAAATACAATTAACAGTTTTATTCTAATAAAAGCAACATTTTTATTAATATATTTTCTGAACACATGATTTCATATCATTTTACCCCAATACTATTTGATTTTTGTTTTTCTTGCCACATACAAAAGTGTCATGTTGTCTCGCTCATTACATCAATATATTGACTTCTCGTGTGGAAGATTAACCTGCAATATCAGGCGTGTAAATGCTTGTTCTGTAGCTCACCTTAAAATCAAAGTGAACTGATGTGAGTATAATTATTCACATTTACAAAGTTGTATTTAAAGTGATCACGCAGCTTCAATTGGCAAACTGATTACTGTGAGTCAGGATCACTCCTAATTCCTCTGCTGGGGCCTGTCTTAGATGTGATGCTAACTGTGACACCACCTGGTTATGTTCAGTCACTTACACCTTTGTTATCATGGCATACAGACTGCTGTTCTTATAGAAATTGTTTGCTTAACATCATTTATTTTGTTAAGTGGATAAAAATGTTTTTAACACAATTTCAAGTCAAGTCAGTCAGACTTTCTTTACAGGTCAAATCAGAATTACAATTAAAATATACTTCTAAAAAAAACAAAAATAGACTCAGAAGAGTCAGTATTCACACAGCTGACTGCCCTTAAATGATCTGTAGACGTCAGCAGCCTCTCTCACCAACTCACCTTCTCCTCAGCTTCGTTTTGTTTTTTTGTTTTTCTTGAACTCTAAATCCGTCCCTTTGTTAGTCCACTCAGTGGCAGAGTGGTCCGTGCTGTTGCCCTACAGTCCGCTGGTTTGATCCTTCGTGCGTCATTAGCTCGTGGTTCTTCCCCGTGTGTGTAGGTTTTCTCGAGGCCAAAAACAAACAGGATTCAACTGATTGGTAAATTGAGCACAGGTGTGACACCGCCCTCACCTGATGACTGTTGGGATTGACTTCAGCTCCAGTCAGCTCTGAGAGAGACAGTCATCTGAAGTGAAATCTAACTGTTGTGAACGTTTGTCACATTATCTGTTGCAACAATGTGTCAATACATGCCATTTACAAATAATAATATGCTTTTTTATATGTATTTGTTTTACTTATTATGTTGATTATCTCATTATGTTATGTTATGTTATGGTATGTTATGTTATGTTATGTCACCACAAAAATAAACAACTCTGTTCTCGGCTTCTGAGCGTCATAAAAAGTGCTGTAATGTATCAATATGGCCTCCGGAGGCGCCTGTTCCATTAGTAATTCCAATCACTCCTGGGAATCAAGTTTATCAATAAACATCAGTCCAATTGATCCGCAATCGGTTCAGCGACAAAATTAAATGTTATCTACCTCGTCTAGTTGTTGTAGAGTCCCTGTCGTTTATTCTGGATTTGTCTTCTGCCCCTTCATTATTTTCAGCTTTGGGTGAGGTTTGGACAGAAGGGGGACGACCTCTAGGACTATCGTAAAGGTCTTAGAGGTTCATGATGAATGAACTGCTGTGTTACACTGAAGGTCGACAGTTCAGTTGAAGTTACTATCAGTGGATCCATATCACTGTTTTTGCCCGTTCTTCATCATCTGACCATATTGATGACGTAGAGCAAATCAAGCGTTGCCTGGTGGCTCTCTCCAGCCTGATGAGAACAGCTGCCCCTGATCAATACGTCCATTGGATAAGTAAGACTTAATTGAAAAATGTTGCCCAGTTTGTGTCTGCCCTCAGACGTAGAGTCCGGGCCCTTGGAGTCAGGCAGAGTCATGCAGGATGCAGAACAGAGTGCTTTGTTATCGTGTTCATAAGGAAAAAAAAAGTGTGGACCCCCCCCCCCCACCCACACACACACACACACACACACACACAACTGTAATATATGGGCAGCGTTGAATTGTTTTCACCAGCCCAAGCCCTCTTAGCTAAAGAGTGTTTCATTCGTCATCAGAAAACTACAGCTGCTCCAATCCGCTTATCAATGTGTGTCTGTGCCATGTTTCCATGGAAACTGTGTTTACTGCCCCACGGTGTTCTAAAAATGGTTCCAAAGTGATAACAGTGCCAGTGCAGGCTGCACATAGATGTGAGGGACAATGACAGTGATTGACAGAAAAAAAAACAACAGAGATTTTAATTTGTGACTTGAGACAAAACTTTGTGTCTGAGGTTTTTCTCACCTGACGATAACGTTTCAACTAAGTATGAAAAGATAAAAATGAGATGAACTAAAAATATCTCCTGCCCTTTTCTGTACATTGGTCGTTCCTTCCTCCCAGACATCCTTCACTGAGCTGCCCTTAAAAAACTGCTGAATTTGATGAGCTCAATTAAAATAGAGGCCAATTAGAGAGTGAGGCTGACCTGGAGTCAGGAAACTAGAGGAACGGGAGCAGAGAGACAGATTAAAAAAGTACTTATTTTAATAAATGTTAATATAAAATATAATCGGTTAAAACAAAGATTTAAAGGTTGAAATGAAAGTGTCTGTTGTTGTTTTCTTTACTGTTGGTTAACACTGTGTTCATTTCACACAGATGTTGTAAAGAATATTGTTCAGAGTCAGTGAAGCCTCCGTGGTGCCTTCGTGTTACTCCCTGTGGACGCTGACATTTATTATTTATGAGCCCAGACCACAGAGTGGTCAGAGAGTGAAGCTGGTCAACCTTTGTCTTAATGAAAGTGAAGCTGCTCCCAATAAGACCTGAAACCTGTAAACTGTGTCTTCACATGTTCATTATGTATTTCTTATATAATCTTTTTAATTTTAATTTTAGAAAATGAGTCAGTCTGCACTATCCTGAGAGGAATTGGACTGGTGAGGTTGGGGGTCTGAAATTTAAATTACAGCTTTGGAAAATAAATAAATAAAACAAAATTAAATAAATACAATAGATAGATAGATTTCACATTTTTATTTATCAACTGTGAAATCTATCTATCTATCTATCTATCTATCTATCTATCTATCTATCTATCTATCTATCTATCTATCTATCTTCAACCATTTAATCTCAGCCAATCACAGCAGCGATACACCCTCCAGTTCTCCAGTACAAGGCCACACACTGAGACAAACCACCATTTACACTCCCTCTTATATCTACGGTCAATTTAAAATCTCCCTGTTTCTTGTTGGGCTGTGGGAGGAAACTGGAGAAAAGAGGCCACCAACCAGGCACCAACAGACGGCAGTTCATACAGAAGGAGCAGCAGTTATCTCTGAGGATCATCAACCACCAGCCCACTGTCGTTTATACTTCAGAAACAACAACAAAGCAGGGACTAACACGCTCCTCTCTGCTGCTGAGACGTACAGAACTGTTTTCATCCAAGGCCGGTCACTCACCTCCAACGTGTTGTTATCATGACAGGTTGCGTGCTAATCACTTCTGCCATGTTTGTGCGAGCCCATCACGTCTCGTCTTCTGACCGTAAGCCTTAAACTATAACGCTGCGCA